AAGCATTCCCCCAAGGGGTGGCGGACGAAGCTTCTACCATCACCGGCAAGCCCACAAAGGGCAAACCGCCAACGAACGAACACAAAACACAAGAGCAAAGGAAGACACCACAGATCCAAGGAAAAATCGAAAGAGAGAGGAAGGAAACGAGGGACGATGTTGGAAACCCAAAATTTCCAGAGCGGCTAGGGCAAAACACGAGCGATAATTTGCCTCTTATTAAAAAAATATCTTAAAATATATTTATAGATACTCTATTTGGAAATTGAAAATAAATTATGCCTTGAATATATCACCATCATCAGCATTATCTTCAGCATTATCTTTGAAACTAACTCTTCAACAAGATTTTATTATTGCTTAAAATAGTCTGAAAAGGAATGGAGTCTCATATGCTAGGAAAGCCTCATAAATAAGATCTTTTATGTGAGCTTTATATTTTTAATTTTATTATTTTGATCTTATTTATAGATCTACAATAGTATTTAAACATATTAAATTAAATTCTTGATAAATAAATTAGATACTATATGTGTTGGGTACCATTAATATTAAACTTGGTCATCAAGTAATAACTCATATGATTTATACACTATTAAGTATTCAATTGAGTCAAAATAATTAGTGGAACTATTGATTTCTTCTTAAATTTTTAGTTTAAAATAATACCATATGTAACCACTTCATATTCCTATAGAACTTTTAATTCATATAACAACGATAATAGACACACATCTATTTTTTAATAAATATTGGGTGAATCAATAATAATTTGTACGGAAAACATGTTTGGAGTTATCAGCACATCTCAGGTGGGAGATTGTACTAGGTAATTATTAATAATTAGCTTCAGTTTGCTGAAGAGACATTATAATATAGGATGAAATTATTAGCATATATGGAAAATCTAATATTCTTACTCTCAAGTAAACTTTGAATATGTTTCATCAAAGTGCTTCCATATTTTAACATCTAATGGTTAGCAATGAACCTAGTTTTCATCTTCTCTTGTGATACAATCTCATAGGATTAAAAGAGCTCATAAATAAATTTTTTTTTTATAATCATAGGATTAGAGGTAAATATAATAACTTCTTAAATGGTATATTCTATTATTTGTGGTTTGCACTTAGGGGCTCCATTGTGTTTTCATTTAACCTTGATCATATCATCCTTACAAAATATCATACATTTATTAATACTCTAGTTTATCATCTTTACATTCAGACCTAACCTAAATAGTCTCCTTCAAAAGCCTAGTACTTTTTGAGTCACAATAAAATATATTTTAATGTTGAACATTTTTATAAAAATAAATAATTTAAAAAGGTTATTGTAGTCATAAATGTTGGTTATAGAGTAACACATAATAAATTATAAATTATTAAGCTTTACTATTTGGAGGTTCTTCAATGATTTATATACATATCATACTATTTGGAGGTTCCCCAAGGGCATGTAAGACTTGGGGGTTGAATAAATGTAATCTTATATTAAGGGAATGATATCTAAATAGGAATAATAGGGGACTCCTTAAAATCAAACAATGGAGTCCACTTCAACACAAACGTTTGACAATTATTAATATAATAAACTCTTCATGCAAACACCCAACAATAATCCAAGTCATTATCAAGTTGTATAAAAAAATATTTGGCATCCTGAAGGACAATATAGAATAAACAAGATAATTTAAGGTTCACAGAAAACTCATGAATAGAATCAAGATTTGGCCGACACATAGCTAATTTCTCAACCCAAGTAAATTAAAATGGAGCAGCTAGCTTTTCAAAAGCTTCCTCTAAAAAATAACAACAGGGACTCCCTTAAAGGATTTTTGCGTGAAGGAAAAAGGAGGACATGACGAAGAGATCATACCAACCACCACATCTTTGAAAGAAAGCGAATTATAAGAAATATTATTACTAGAAACACCAAATAGGCCTTGATTCTTAATTGTCAAGGAAAGAACTTTTGATGAACCCCATGGATTAGAAGGAGGTGCCGCCATCCAAAGGATAAGAACCTCAAACACAGTGCTAGAACAACCTCAAATAGAGAAGACGACTGTTAGAAATGAAACTAAGGGTTGAGAACAAACCTAGGCCACAAAAAATAACTTTCGATCCACCAAAATCCAAAGAAGAATTGGAGATGGAATAGAGAATCACCAAAGTTGGGGGAAGGCATCTAGGGCATTGTGACATTAAAGAATGTTTTGGTTGAAGTTTATTAAATTTAGAGAAAATGCAGTAAATTCAATTTAAAAAAAAAATTGATGGTTCAAATCAAAGTCTTTGAAATTAGAAGTAGGGAACAAGTCGCCTATCTCGATCTGAACACTTTTGTAAACGCGGAAAAGCAAATCAGTGATCCAAATGCAACTTTTTTTTTTTCATCTCTCCTCTTTTCCTTTATATATATATATATATATATATATATATATATAGTTTTTTAGTGTGTAGCGCCACAATACCACTACACAGAACCACAACACTACATGTAAGACTATAATTACTATAAAATAGAGGCTTCAATGCTGCGGCGGCGATTTCTAGTGGCGCTGCGTCCAAAGTCCCAACGCCGCAGCGTCACAATCATAGCGCCGCATCGCTGTAGTTCAAACAAAAATTCATATTTATATTAAAAATCATTTTCATAAATTCTGGGCTTTTACATGATAAGAAATATAGTTTTAGCATCATTTGTCGTTAGTTTAATGCCATTATTATGATAGTGGAAATAGCATAGAAGGGAGACTTGTATTTTGTAAATTTTAAGTTTAGTGGGGACATTATTGTGATAATCATCTATGGCCCATCTAATGCTTATTATTACAATGATATGGTAGTCATTAGTAATAATTAAGATCATCTTGACATATAGTCTTGAGGAAGTGGTGAGTGACAACCAATATCATCATCTACGTTGCCTCAAAAATCATAGGAAGTGGGCTAGGCATAAATTATTGATAGACGAGCATTATCCAATATTTAAGTTTCAATGAGAAATGAGATTTAGGCTGCTATATTTTGTGGGTTTCTACGTTGTTAATGCAATGGAAATATGGCTGTCACGATCATATTTTTTGGATGACGAATTTTTTAGGCATATTAAATTGTAAAGAAAAACCTATATAATGTGCTGAAAACGAACCTTATTTTCGGATTTTAAGTAGATTTATTTAAGTTCTAGTTAGGGATATTTTTTGTGGTTTTCATCTGCAATGAAGAAGATTATGCATGGAATTTTTTCTGTCGAAAGGAGAGAGAACGTCCACATAATCCGGAGGGTTTTTTCAATTTTTATTTGTTGAGTTTTTTCTGCCGCAATCTTCTATGGTGGTAGAGGGTCGCCGGTCATCCTCCGATGACCGGAATACCTCAACCTCATCTCTTGCCGAGCGTCTGATTAATTGGGATGCAAAAGGCAGGATTATAAGTCATGATTTGATAATCAAGCAATGTCCTTTGATCATCAATGAAGGGCGACTTCTTCCGATGCAGGATGAGGTTCCGGTAATGGGCAAGGGGAAAGAAACTGTGGAAAATTTGGATAGAAAGAAGAATCCGACGTCTTTGTCTTCACCATCAAAGAATATATTGTCTAAAGCGGCGAACGATATAGAGGCCTCGTCGTCTACTGGGTTCAAACTTAAGGTAAATAAATTTTCAAATATTTCCTGTACTGCGGATAAACAGGATATCTTGAATTGGGATTTGAAAACTTCAAAGCGTAATGAAGTTTTGAATAATGTGGCTGAATCACAATTGGTGAATGAGAAGATTGTGTTACAGAACCTAATTAATGGGCTTGGTGATTTGGTAAATGCATGGTCTAATAACCAGCACATCAAAGTGCCCTTAATCAATTCGGATCAGGTAGAAGATGAGGATTCTGATGTTGTTAAACTTGACATGGACAAGGTTTCTGAAAATGTTATTTTGCTTCAGAAATCTCTTGTGGTGAAGGTGTTTGGGAGTGAAGTTCCTTTTTCCCTTTGTAGTATTGAGTTAAGACGTCAATGGATTAAATTTGGCAATTTTCATATTACCTCATTGGGACTGGATTTTATGTTCATTTCATTCCTCTCAAGCTATGGAAGAACTTGTAAAATATTTTTGAATTATTATTACTTTTAGAATAGCATAACAGTATATTATTATACCAAATAGCCGATCAAATAGTAGACTTATCATAAGTAGTTCTAAAAGTGTTCCAAGCTTTGTTGAGAGCAAAGTTACCATTGAAAGATTTTTAGTTTTGTTCTAGCCCAGCACCCGAAATGTGCAAATTATTTAGGTTTGTTCGAGCCCAGGCCCCCGAACTAGTATACCAAATATATAATATTTAATGTGTCAAGTCGATTCAATCTATTATGTTATCTATTCACACAGAGCTCACCTTGGCCTGTTGGTTGAGAGCTTATGCTTCCAACTAAGAGATCTTGGGTTCGAGTCTGTGTTTATGCGTTGTTTGTATGAGTTTGCCTTAAATGACCTAAATGACAAAAAAAAAAAAGTTATCTATTCACTTAATGTAACGAATTTAATACTATACATAGGTTTTCATATAATTTTGAGCTTGTTTTTCTTTTTTATTTAGATTTTTGAGTAAACGTAAACATTTATTTGATTGTTTTTATTATTTTGAAATGAGTGCTTTCCAGCAAATCAAATTCCTGTTGACATAGGAACTTACTGTTCTCAATCTTTTAAGTATTTTGAGATGTTAATTTTTTTGGTTTTTCAATGTTTTTTACGAAATCTGATTCACTTGTCATATAAATATAAAGAGACAGAGAGAAAGAGATAAAATCCACAAATCTTATTATTTGCATCTTGAATTAATGCTTGATTTTTATATTATTACTTCATATGATTACAATATTCTCTCCTCGTAGATGCTTTGGTATGAAAGATAGTTGTGTTTCTAACAAAATTTTATTCATTATCATGAAAACTCTGTTTCTTTATTCTCTCATGCCACCTTGTCTGCAGTTGAAGAACTCTCAAGAAACCCACAGGAACTTACTACGAGAGATGGTAAGTATAAAATTTCCATGCAATGCCACCATTATTATCAAGCATCATCGTGATGTTATTGTAAAGGAAGCCGTCGTAAGACCAGCTCTGAACAGAAAACTCCCATATGTAAGCAGGAAACGGAGCACGCAGTCTATTATGTGGATGATGATCCGAGCAACTATGATGGCGCGCTTGCACTAGGAAATGGAGCTTCCTACTTGTACTCATTCCGTACCCAACCAAGCCAGCCAAACCTTCAAGGAATGGGATATGGCCCTCATGATCTACGTCTCGCTTGATCATTTGTTATCTAAGTAACAACTGCTTAATTATATTTATAGCAAGTGGCATCTTTGACATGTACTGATGTTTCTATGCTCACTAGTAGGCTCTGTTTACTGCAATATATATACTGGCTGACCACGTACTATATATATACTATGCAATTTATATGTTTTAAATGGAGAAATGCATGTCTACAAGTATCTTATGTAAGTGCTACTTGATTTTATCGGAATGATCTTGCTATCTTGAAAATCTTGCTCAAAGTAACAAATGCTTTGTTTTGCTGCTTCCTGTCTGATTCGAGTTGTTTTTGGAGGTAACAGCGTCTTTTACTTGATTGGTTTTGAAATCATAGTTGTAATTAAGTTCATTACACATACCCCAGTAAATAGCTTGTGATGCTGATTTCAAATAGATGAATGTGGCTTAAGTAAATTCCCCAGTAAAATTAAATTCATTATACATTTCTGTTTGAAAGAATGAGACTACGTTTTTTATGTTTAAATTACAATTAATTCGGTAAAACTGGTTTATGTTGATTTACCAGTTCACTATTGATTGCATAAAGATTGACTATTATTAATCAAACAAGTACCTCTTTTATTCAGCACAATAGAAAACAGTAGAGCAATGTATATGTTATAGAATTTTTTTTAATAATTTATTTCCAAGTTTTGTCTTTATTTCTACCACAAAAAGAAAACGGCTTTAGATTTATAAATCATAATTGTGAAGAAATTAATGGTTTCCTTGCAAGTTTTTCAGGAAAAAAAAAAGAGCAACTACTACATAACAACTTGAAGTATATATATATATATATATATACGGTAATGATAGATGCCAATTAGAGAAGTGGATGTAGCCATGGTCTTGGTTGTGGATTGCGGGCTCCAAAAATTCGGCTCCGACCTCCCGCGCGGATTAAGTTCTGGGATAAATTTTTGGAATGCAAATGAATTTTTATATATAACACTACTCAGAGATTTCGCCCTCATTTTGCATGGACTTTATGATATGAGTTCTTGTTTTATATAGGCGCAATCCCCTATAGTTAATTACCCCTCTCAATTATGAGAGAGAACTTTCGATCGATTAAGGCTAGTCATCAATCATATATATAGAACTACATGTTATCTGGCATATAGTAGCAGCATCAGGCTTTTGGAATTTGGGGATTTAAGGTTTGATATTTTAAATTTAAAATTCTATCATCTTATACTTAAAATGGATGGTGGGGGCATAGATGATAGACCCAATCATGTTCCCATGTTTTCTTCGTCCCTGGTCATTAGGATCCCTGGTCTACTTAGTCAGAGTTGGTAGTCGACCCAACTTGACAGAAGGATTCTTGTCGACAACCATTGGTTAATTCATCCAAGGTTACCTTGTAGACCTATGGTGGATGTTTGTCTAATGGGATAAATTTGAATCCACTTTAGTTAACAGAGGGCTATATGCCTTATCAATTATATCTTATTGATTCATATATCAAGGATTTGATTCCTCTAAGGAAAATATTGGCTCTGGCCATATTCATTATCTCATGGTGCCATTTGGCGGCAAAACCACTATGTTCAAAGGGCCCCGGGTCATAACTGTTTATCTTACAGTGTTAGTTAAATGATACATGCCACGTTCTTACTAGCAGGAGATTATTTGAAAATGGATCAAAATGATATTTTTTACTAGGCATTATCTCTTTATGAGCTGAAGTAGTTTTCAAATTGTCCACCGATAAATAGTTACGGAGGATACATGAATTTTTCTTTAAGTGTTTTGATAGTTTATTTCAATTTGAATAATTTGGGTTTAATATTTAGAATTTTAAGCTTTTGTGGGTATTTCAATGAAATTTTGATTATTTGAATTAACACCTCCGGTTGAGACAAGCATTCTACACAGCCATCATCGAGGTGTTTGGGGTCATTTCTATTTATGGATTAAACATTGTCGACTCTTTCAAGTTGTCGGAAGATGATTGGGTCCATAGGCTTTATGTTCATATTGATGAATTTCTTTTATCATAGACCTTGAAGGCTTTACGTGAATGAATAAAATAGATATTCTATTTGACACCATGATCATATATGTGCTTGATAATTCGACCTATGTAAACTCCTATTTATCCATATTGAAGGATCAAGCTAGAATAATAGTTCATTTAATAAACCGAGCAGCATCCCTAGATATCACGTATGTTTTTACTACATGCTCGTCGGGGCCCATGCAGATATTTCAAGGCATTTTATAATTACTTGTTAAACCTTGTTAACTCCAATTTAACTATTTAGGAGGATCAAGTTCAAGTTTATTAACCCGCGCAACATCCCTAGAAGTCACGTGTGTTCATGTGACATGCTTGTTGGGGCCTATATGGGTCATGCGATTATATCCCTATCTATGTATCTATGTGTATGCATATTACAATGGGCGAAAAAATTCCTAAAATATTTATAAACACCTTCTATCTGGTTGCATGGATGTTGTTGATCCGGTGGCATGGAGTTGAAGCGTCTAGATGCTTTCTATCTACTTATATAAGTATTATAAATCAGGCGGCATGGAGTTGAAGCTTGTAGACATCTTTTGCCTGCTTATATGAATATTGTAGATCTAGTGGCGTGACGTCATACTATATTTTTTTGCCCATTTCGTACAGGTAGAGTGTCGTGCACTACTTGTCGCTTTTTACAAGTAGATTGCAAATGCATTAATGAATCTCCTTATTTGTTTATTGATGACTACATTCGCATGTTACCTTTGTTCGTGGTCACAGTCATTTATATTTTTTTAAAGTTATTCAGCATTTTATTTTTGGTTCACACACCGGGTATACAACAAACCTTCTATGACAGCTCGTTGGGATTTACATTTGCTATAGTCATTTAAAATTTTGTTCGTGGATGATATTTTGAGCATATAACATGCTTCATACAAGAACCCATAGACATTTGTATTTAGTATATATCATCTGCCCTTGGCTTGTAGGAGATCAGCGTATTTGATGGCCATTAAACAATGGTAGATCATAGGAGTATAATAACAATTACAACTTACTATTGGGAAACACATATGGGTGTGTCGTTGTGTATATAACAAATGTTTCACTATTTTTAATAAGTATTCACATTCGCCACACTCTCCTATCTTTAATCACAAAAGATATGTCACATATTTGAGTCCTCATAGGATCTATCACATTGGCAATACCTTCACTGTCATTATTTGTAGATAGGCCGGTTATCGCATGAATGAAGCGCCTCTTAAAGTGGCTTAGAGGAGTTCGTACACTTTGAAAGTTTGAGTGCACTTACTTGTATATTGGCTTCCTTGATATTATTCACAAAGGATCTTTGTAGTGGCTTGATATTATTTATGTTTGGACTACTGTATGTGTTTCAGATCTCTAGCTAGCTATTACCCGTAAGCACTATACTTCATAGAAGAGCTTCCTACGGTGATTAGTACGACTTTAAATTCAACATGGATGGTTGTTGTTTCACTTAATATGTTGATTGCTATGAAAATTATTATTCATCCACAAATGCTTACAAGTAGTACATCGCATGTATCCTATATGCGTTAAATTATCATGTTCATTGCATATTGACCCCTTGTACTTGTAGGGAGCTCACTACATCTACTTGAGATTTAATTATTGTTGACGAAGAAGATTTTTCTACATTCATGATGTGCTCTTCACATTCCACATATGAGAATCTCATATTGCACTTTGATTACAATGATTCAATGTATTTATTTCACCATTAAGTAGTATTGTTTGTGCACTAGCTTTTAGGTATTCTTCTTGAATGCATTATGATTTTCACTACCACCATCTTGCCACTCATTTTTGCTTGTTTGTGTATTATCTTGTTCACCATAAGTCCTCAACATATGCTTGTGTGTGAATGGTCATGATCATTACATGTTCCTTATAGATTGTTCAAGTCTCCTATTATTCAAGTTTGATTTAAGTTGAGGTTCCTTTTGATCATTAAATTCAAGTTTGAATTTGAATTCATTTTAGGTTTAATGTGCATGTTCACTTGAGTTCAAGTCCTCTACTTAGTTTATTTGAGCTTGAATCCACACGACCTCTGCTCAATTTATAGTAATTAGTTAAGTTCAAATTTTTTTCAAGTTCATTTAAGTAAATTTCATCGACGTTTGCTTAAGTCTAAGTCCCCTGTCACTAGAAAATCTGGTAGCCACCCGACGTCTCCAATATTTAGGAAAAAACTACATGAGTCTGGGCCTCCCACCATAATATAAAAGCATGTATGGTAGGTGTCCATAAACACAAACCACAGTTGTTTCTTCATTCCCACCACACACAAAAAAAACATGGTTGGATTTCCCCAACTCAAGGGTACTTTTTAAGTAATCCCAGCTTACCGTAGGCATCGCACCAGGTTTCCATCCCACCAAGCCTAATAAAAGCACATATAGGCAGTTTTTTTATGCATCTCAAATACAGAAATGGGGATTTTGGATCTCCTACTTCATTGTGAGCACCGCGACACACTTTCTCCCACCACACTAACAAAAGTGTTTATAGCTGATTGTTTTGTCGCACTGCAAGCATCAAAGATGGGCTCTTGGATTTACAAAGTGCACAAACTATATATATTTTTTGAAACTCTTCTTTTTTAAATATTACTCCTTTTTTATTTTCCTTTTTTTCTTCTTTTTAAATATATATAATTTTATAAAAACATATGTATATTTATACAGATAATTATATTAATAATGATAATAACTAAATTAGCTACCTCATATAAGCGCCTGGGGCGATTTTGTGGCGATTTCGATGTTTCGCTGGTCGAGGCTCTTAGTTAAGGTTCCGATCTATCTTCCTGCCTTCCTCATTTCGCCTCTTCACTGGTAAACGCGTTCCTTTCTCTGGACCCTCTTGTCGGTGGTTTCTCTGCTTTTTTACTCTGTTTTTCTCGGTGTCCAACTTTTTGGTGGTTTGAGGTTGTTTTTTTGCTTTCGTTGGGTGGGGGGGGCAATGACGTCTCCGACGTGGTCTACCCCAGATGTTCCTCCGGTCCTTACTAATAAAACCAAATCTTTTAAGGATGTTGTATCTGGTGGCTCATCTTCTTCGGCTTCGAAAGTCCAATTTGTGCATGCTTCTTTTAAGGGTTTTCCTGCTCTTTTATTCGATGATGCTATTATTCAGCAACTGGCTGCTCCCTTTTCAATCACTCTCGTTGGTAAGTTTATGTTAC